TTTATCACAGGCCTTGCCATGTTTCAAACAGAACCAGACCTAAGGCACAACAGTTGCTGTCTGTTCATTCATCTGGAGCGAGAGAGTAAGAAAGAGGGTCAGAACAGGAGGAGAAGTGGACTGTGTGGCTCATGGGCTCCATGAACAGGCCATGAGACCGGAAGAAATAGATGGTGCCCGACTACCATTACTGAACATTTTGAGCACAGATTCTGTAAAAGAATTTGTGATCAAAAGGGAGAAAATGCAGAACAGAATTTCAAATTCTCATAGAATTCAGAGTTTCTGGAGCTGTGGAGGCTGGATGAACCCCTGAAACTACTGCCTTAAGATAAACTTTAAGCCTTAAACTGAAAATATCCCCTCAAGTCTTCTTTCACCCAAACAATAGCTTAGTTTCACTAGGAAAGGGTGCCTGCCCAGAACATTATGCTATTTCACAATCTACCTATGGGATCAGCTTGACAACAGCAACTCAAAGGGTTAGATGAGAACCTTGCGGGGCCATGACTTTATGTGAATAGGGCAGGAACAACTCAGAAAAGGAGGCTGAGGGTGGCTGCATGCCTCAAAGAATGCCACCAGTGACATTGTCATACACGTGGACACTGTTGAATCGCTCTGTGTTTTGTTATGTGGATTCTCAACAATGACAAAATGAAAAAAGATTTAAAAAAAATGATCGAATGAACCCTGGCTTTTACGGCAGACAGATGCGGATCCAGATCACTGCCCTGCTGCCTACTTGCTGTGGGATTTTGGACAGGTGTCTCGCCCTCTCTGGGCTGCTGTGGGATCTTAGGGAGCAGATAAACCGGGTGCTCAGGCTGAGCCCTTGTTTTTTGCCACCAGGTGATCTTCCACCCAGAATTCCTCTCTTCCACAAGCCCTCTGCTCCCTGTGGACTATGAGGAGTTTGTCCGCGGCTGCCACCTTGGCGTGTTCCCCTCTTACTACGAGCCTTGGGGCTATACACCAGGTAGGTGCAGCCCATGGTGGGCTGGGAGAAAGGACAGCACGGTGGCAGAGTCTGGTCCGATCCAGCCTGATCCTGTGACAAGGGACTGTCTGTCTCTGAGTGCCCCCTAGTCTCCTTTGCAGAAGAAGCCTGGGTAGCACTACAGTTAGCTGCTCAGCGGCTTACTGAAAGGTTGGTGGTTCAACCCCCCCAGAACCTCTGAGGGAGAAAGACCTGCTGATCGTCTCCTGTTCTGGTTCCCTAGTGCCGCTCTGACGGGAATATACCACCAATGGGGTGCCTTCAACAAACAGGAGTTTATTTTCTCACAGTTTGGAGGCTTTCAGTCCCAAGTGTCAAGTGCCAGGCTTTAGGGCTAGGTGAAGGCTCCTCAACCTTGGGCTTCAGCTCTGCCTCCTGCTCCTGGCCCACTGAAGCTGGGGGCATCTCTTCACTCAGACAGCTGTTGGCTGCTGAGGCTGACAAGCCCAAGGTTGACAAGTCAAAAGGCAGAGTCTCAATGTTATTAAACCACACGGCAGGCCATTAATGCAAATCCATTGAAAGTCCCAAGGTTAGCAGAGCATGGCAACCTGCTGAACAACGACATGGTTACATGCAGGGTCCAAGCGTGCCATAAGCTAGAGACCATTCCCCAAGGCTTCTGCTTATATACAGGAAGCCTACCACATTCCCTAAGGCAGCTACTCAGCTACTTGTGGTAGATCCCACCATGGAGTTGATTAGTAGTCTCATCATGGGAAATACTACATCCAGCTGCCCAACCACTCACCCAGGCCCAGCCAAGCTGACACACAAACTGAACTACCACAGCTCCCGTAAAGATTAAATCCATAGCCATCCAGTTGATTCCAAGCAATAGCGCCCCTAGAGGACACAGTGGAACTGCACCCAGGGTCTCCAAGGCTGTCAGTCTTTATGGGAGCAAAGCCCAAACCACACCCACTGCCCTGGAGTTGATTCTGACTCACAGCGCCCCTAGAGGACAGAGTGGAACTGCACCACAGGGTCTCCAAGGCTGTCAATCTTCAGGGAAGCAAAGGCCAAACCAAACCCACTGCCCTGCAGTCTATTCTGACCCACAGCGCCCCTAGAGGACAGAGTGGAACTGCCCCAGGAGGTTTCTAAGGCTGTCAGTCTTTATGGAAGCCGGCTGCAACATCTTTCTCCCACGGAGCAGCTGGTGGGATTAAAACCCACCCAGAGGCCCCTCAGAGGACAGGCCTGGCAATCTGCTTCTGAACGGTCCTAGCCTTAAACACGCTATGGAACCGTTCTACTCTGCACACACAGCCAGGACTCGGAATCCCTCAACGGCAGCTGACAGCAATCGCACAGCTCGCTAGCGCACCCGACGCTCCAGCGTCTCCCAGCCAAGCGGTTCCATCCCTCCCCCTCCCTGGTTCTCACGGGCCACGTGCTGAGTGTGAACTGCTTGTTTGCATTTTTCCCTCATTTTGAGCCATGCTGCCATTTCCCCCAACTCAATCCTCACACTCTTTCCAATTAAGGTCCTTTAAATTAATACCATAGTGCTATGTTGTTGTTAAAGGCTGTGGAGGCGGCCTGTGGTTCGTGGCGACCCCGTGTACCACAGAATGAATAAGTGCGTGGTCCGACGCCAGCCCCGTGATCGGCTGCGATCTGTTTTCAGTGGCTGATTTCAGTAGATTGGCAGGCCCTTCTTCCTAATCCCTCCTACTGTGGAAGCTCTATGAAACCCCATAGCAACATGCAGGTCACCACTGACAGGCGGGTGGTAACCACATAAGCTGCACTAGCTGGGAATCGAACCTGGGTCTTCCCGCCTGGAAAACGAGAATTCTCCCACTGTGCCACGGCTGTCCTCACTTGCTGGTGTGGTTTTTTATGCTAGTTGCCTTCAAGTCAGTTCCAACTCATGGACCTCATGTGCAAAGTAGAACTACTCCAGAGGGCTTTTAAGACTCTCTGACCTCTCAG